AAACCTAACAACTGTAGACCCTATATGGTCTTGTACATGGTATTATGAGTTAACTGTACATTCTTTCAACTTTTCTGTATGTTTGAAAGTTTTAATAGTAAATGTTGTAGGATGCTGGGGGGGAGGGAATTCAATAAGAGGCCACTGACAGTGAACAAAGAAATAAACATACAAATAGGACTCATGCAATGCAAACAATACACTGAAGGGCGGCGGTAGTAAATACCTATTTCATGACAGGTGAAGAAAGCATCGATATTTAAAGTAAACAGAGTAAGTACAAAAAAAGTTTATAAGGAGAAGAAAAGCCAAAAATGTCAAGAAAATTAGAATGCTCTTGATATTAGGAATAAAAAAGGAGCTTCAAGAAGAAAGTTACAGTGTCAACATAACAGTTCAAGGAGGACAAGTACAACTAGAAAGCAGGCGTATGTAAAAGAGGTGGGATGGTAATATAAGCTAGAACAAGTACCTTTGAATTTATACAGATAAATTCAAAGGAAACCAATGACGAGCATGGGAATGAGGATGATCTAGCTGAGGGGCTTATAACTAGAGAGAAACACAAAAGGTTGCAGTACTTTTTTAAAATGGAAAATGAAAGCAAATGACTGCACCTAAAATAGCACCATACTGTATTATCTTATCCACGACATATACTACTGGGTGGGAAATCTGCAGGTGGCCTGAATGTCCCCATTCTTGCTGAGTGTCATCTCCAAAGCCTTCCATTTCCTCATACTGAACTATTTTGTGTACAAATTAGGTGGACAACAAAGAAGACCATGACAACCACACCATGTACCTGCCCTGCCCTCACAGAGAGTTCAACCCAGTATGTTTGTTTTTGCTACAATGTTTGCTGCTTGCTAAAAAACAAGATAAAACAAAGATAAAACGAACCAAAACAGAGTTACACCCTTGGCTCAGAGTTCCCTGAGTTCCTCAGCTGTGACACATACCTACTCCTCCCGTCCCTCTGGGAGTTGGCAGCAAGGAAAACCTTGTCAAATATGCTGATGTTCATGCTGCTTGTTGTGTCATGAATAATATTACTTGTCTCTGACTCTGGAGCCTCCTGTTTTCTGCAGAGCAACCTTGAAACATTAACAGACCAACTTCATAATTTGTGAATAGAGTGCTTATCACCTGCCATCCTCTATATGTTTTACATACATTACAGTATTTAATTCTCATAATAATCCTAATAAGGTGGCACTAATATGAGGAAACAGATGTCAAGGTGCAAAGTAATTAAGACACCTCAAGATCTGCAAATAGCACAACCTAAATCTAAACTCAGATGACTTTAAAACCTATTTTGTGCTAGGAGTGGTGGCACACACCTATAATCCCAGCATTTGGAAGACTGAAGCAGAAGGATTGCAAATTCCAGGCAAACCTAAGCTACTACATAGCAAGTTAAAGGAAAACTTGGACTATGTAGCAAGATCTTGTCTTAAAAACACCAAAACCAAAAGCCTGTTGTGTTTTTATGGTGCCGGGGATCAAAGCCAGGGCCCTGCACATTTGGACATACTTGAACCATGCCACCCCTGAGGTAGATGCTCCCAGGTCCCAAATCTGTTTTTAATCATTAATTGTCAAGTTTCTTTAGCTGATTTACCAAAGAGAACTTTATTCTCCATATACGAAAGCAAAATACTCATTATCTTCACAGTACGGCTACTAAAAATTATGTTCCACAAAACATTAATACTTTGCAAATGTTGATATAATCTTAAAAACACACACAAAAAAACCTATGGTCAAAAATTACAAAGAGTCGGGGCTGGGGATTTAGCTCAGCGGCAAAAGCGCCTGCCTGGCAAGCGCAAGGTCGTGAGTTCGGTTCCCGGCACCGGAGAAAAACCAAAAAAAAAAAAAAATTACTAAGAGCTGGTATAAACAAATCCAAACCATTGTCATTACTATAGAATTTCTTATTACTTCAATATCCTAGTATGTGTCATAAATCATCCAGAAACACCTTTTATCACCATTCTAGAATACAGTTTGGGAAACTGTTGTTAAAAGGAATACTCCAATTTAAATTGTACACAGAACACCTTTTTAATCTTAGTCCTCAGCTTGGTGCAGGCACATGACACTTTAAAATAGAAAACATCCAAGTTAGAATGTGGTTTAAGAGCTTGCAAGCCAAGTTAACTACTTAATACTTTAGCAATATTGTTCTTTTCCTACCAGGCAAAACTAAATTTCCCATAACACAATGCAACTACGTATTATGTCTAATATTTTCCAAATTTAGAAGAATAACAACAAGAGATTTTGTAGCTCTACATTGTTATCCACTGCTCTACTTTGCAAAATTTGGATCTTTTTCAAAGAGACTTGAGAAAAAGCAGTTTCCAGATAAAGCCTGTGGGCTGTTTAATAGTAATAAGTCATGCTGATGGTTCTGGGCACCACTGCTAATTTTCTAGTATGGAGAAATGAATTTCAACGCTTTCAAAAAGTAATAAATGCCATGCCTGTAATCCCAGCACTCGGGAGGCTGAGCCAGGAGGATCACTTGTAAGTTCAAGGCCGGCATGGGCTACAACGGGAGTTCAAGTCCAGCCTGAACTGCATAGTGAAATATTGTCCCAAAAAGGCAAAAAAAAAGTAGTAAGTTAACATGGCATATTACTTCATCTGCAAGTATACCTGCCTATCTCCTTAGTCATCTTAATTTAACACTCAACAACCGAATTCCTTTATTTTTATTAATTATTCCAGTTTAAAAAAAAACTGAACAAAAGGCAGTCATAAAACAGTTGACTTTATCTCATAAACCATACTGCTGATTGTTATCTAGCTACAAAGTCTCTTCAAAACGTAAACGCAGCTGCTCCTGTAGCAGACATCTAGATACAGTTATTAATCAAGCTATTTTCAACAAAACCAACTTATTCTGGATAAATGAAATTACTACGTAATTAGACACTACAGAAATTAAACTGCAAATTTTAACCATGCTAACATTCCTTAATGCTGTGTGTTACAAGAAAAATAAACTGATACCCTATCTAAAAAGGAAGATTTTAGAATGTGTGATCTTTAACCTGTGCTCTCAAGGAATGCCTCCACCCATTCCAAGTCCATTCAGGGCATGGCTTTAAATGGGGGGTGGAGTAATAACATACAGATATCTGAATGTTGTTATAGAGAAAAAATATCCCAAGACTGAAAGAGCAAATTTCAACATTTTGGCGGCAAGTTTTTTGAAAAATAGTCACAACTAGTTACATCTATTTAAAGCAAAGATGAGAATATAATAAAGAATTTAAGGCATAACCACATTAGTTAAAAATGTTTTGAGTAGTTATCTGTGTACAAAACATAGCCGATTCCAAAGAGTCAAAGCAAATAAAGAATTAATCACTAAGCAAAAGTACTGAAAGAGAAAGGATTCGTATCAGCTCATGCCATTAGAAAAAAAAACAAATAAGAACAGGAAATAGTAGAAAAACAAAAAAGCATTACTGCTAGTATTATCCAGCATTTATCTACTGAATTTTATTTTTGCTAACATTTACAAAACCAAGAATGGCTTTTTAAAAAATAAATCAAAAGTGTCTATACTGACATCTTGAAAAATACCTTCTACATTGGCAGCAATATTTTTTAAGCTGTTCTGAAAATACTGATGAAACACCCAGAGCAGGGGCAGTGAACTTTTAGAGACCCCGTGCTCAAACTGAACTCAAAATCCACTAATTTATCACAAAGTGCCAACACTGCAATTTAACCTGAATACTGAGTTTTAGTTTAGAAAAAAACAACTCATATATTAACATCTTTGTCGTGAAAGAAAAACACAATTATACGCATGCCGTGGGTTCACCACCACTAATTTAGAGGTTTTAAAGGATCTAAACCAGATGACAATGGATGCATCACGAGCTCTTGGAAAAATGAAAAATCACATACACTGGGCTCATATTTTTTGCAATATTCTTCGTATCTGTCAAAACGCACTGAAATTCTTAGTTTACATTACATATGCAAAAATACATGAAAGATGAAATCTGAAACTGACATATTTACGTTTGAACAATTTTCTTAACTCTGAACTGCACATTCAGCAGTGCGTGCTTTTCTCCTCTCCCTCAGGTTTAACTAAATTTTCACCCGAAAGTTTACATATTAACCTGCTATCCGGCGGTAAGAGAACAGTCAACTACACCGAGCCCATTTTAAAATAAGGCCTATACCAGGGATCTCCAATGACACCATCAGAATACAGGAAGGAAAAAAATATACAAGATAAATTGACAAAGAAAATACAGAACAACATGGTTCACTCATTTAAACAGTTAAAGAGGTTTATATTACGTTGTACAATCTATTAAATAAAAACTAATTTTCCAAACAAGAGCAAAGTTTTTTTCCTAATAAAACTCTTCCCTCTCCTGCCATGTGTACATATGTGTACGCGTATGTACGTATGTATATGGATTGGGAAAAAAAGAATGCAGTCACTTTTAACACTAACGTAATGAAAAAGGACAAAACGACAAGGTTAACTAGAGAAAAGGCAAGATCAGCGCTACAGCTATTCTCTACAGTTCCACAGTTCCTAACCCACATTTCTCCCAAATTCACCCTCCGCAGGGCTTCCACCCGCCCCACCCAGCCTTCCACCCACCGGTTTATGACGGCAATCGCCTTCCTGACAGGTACGGGAACTTAGCCTCATCTGCAGTACGAAACCGACAGAAATGTCTCAGTGCGACTGCGTCAGGAAATAAAGCAAGGATAAGGCGAGAAATAAAATACAAGTAAGTTGAGAGGGTGTTTTCAATGGAGGGTACACGGTGCCGGTGGGGCTGGAGGACACTGGGGCCAAAGGGCAGGGTGCTGGAGTCAGGAGCAAAGGTCCAACAGAAAAGGTGTGGGGCCGGAGCAGCCAAAACCTTACAATCAGCGGTGCCCTCGGGCATGGTGAGGACGGCGACCCTGGGGTCCCGGGGGCGCAGAGGCCGGAAACTCACCACCTGGTAGCGGCCAGTCCCGGGCTGGTGATGGTCCATCCTGCCGGGCTCGGGGTCCGGCTTCGGCGCGGACAGGTCGCCTGGGCGCTCAGCAACCCCCGCCTCCCCGGTGGGCGACGTCGCCGCCGCAGCGCCCCTTCCGCCTCGCTTTCTGCCGCCGCGGTCGCCCGGCGGGGCCGCTTCACTTCCTGTCGCTCCGGCAGGCTCCGCGGAGACCTCCGCGTCGCTCGCGCCTGGCGGGGGCAGCTCCAGGGCGCCGCGGGCCGCACTGAGCATGCTCGGGCCGGCCGCGCATGCTCGCTGGCTCCGCCGGGCCTCCATGCGCGCGGCGGCTCGGAAGGCGTCGCTGCTGAGGAGGCGAGGGACGAGGCGGGCAGGTGCCTGGGAGTCGCGTAGGTTGCAAGCCTGTCGGGAGTGGGCGGCGGCCAAAGAAGCAGGAAAAAAAAAAGCGCCATCCTTGATAGGTGTTTGGTTTTTTTTTTCCCGAGTGCACCGGTTTCGCGCGGGGACGAACGAGTGCGCAGTCACACTGCACAGCGACGGCGCGAGAGAGGAGACGCGTTTCTGCACCGCGCAGCGGCTCGCGATCTTACCCTCGCTCCTCTTGTCACCCAGGCAGCGTGGGCGGCGCGAGCAGGTCCCTCTGCGGGCACCCCAAAACTGCGTCCTCAGAATCATTGCCCAGATGCGGGCTTTTTGTTTGTTTTCGGATTATTTTTGGAGCCGCTTCAGGTACACAGAAAGACTGGGGCGGTGGAGACACCACCGGCACCCTGTGCCCCCGCACTTGCGTCGCCCACCTCCCCGCTCTGCCGGGCGTCGCCAGCAGCCCCCGCAGGAGCCGCAGCGTTGGTGGGAACGGGGCCCCGCCTTGGCTCTCCTCCCCGCGCGCGAAGGCCGTGGTTTGCATCAGTTCGTTCTTGGCGTCCACCCTTCTGAGGGTTCGGGCAAATTTATAATAACTATCCACCATTAAAGTACCGTACAGAGGATTTTCATTGCCCTAAAAAAATTCTCTATGGAAGAATTTCGTTTAAAAAAAATTTTTTTTTCCTTTCTTAGATTCTAACCGATTTTTCAGACTTTCTTCAATGTTCTGCCAGGAGAGAGGCCTTTAGAGTTCCAGGATACAGAAAAGATAGAAAATAATGAAATGAAACTGAGGGAGGCTACGACTGTTTTATAATACTCAAATCAAAAAAATGTGTAAGCATGCCTGTAATCCCAGCACTTGAGAAGCTGAGGCAGGAGGTTCATTGTGAGTTGGAAACCAGCCTGGGCTGCATAGTGAGCTTAAGGCCAGCTTGAACTGCATGGTGAGATCCTGTCTCAAAAAAAAAAAAAAAAAAAGTCTAAGCGCTTGATAGTGAGGAGTTACTTTGCTGAAGCATTGTGGTACTAACTCAGTATCTGGCCAGGCATACACTTAATTTAGCACTGTGCATGCAATATTCACACAAAGCTCACATCATGTTATTGTAGCAAGTAAGAGCATGGGGAGCATGTAAAAGTACTTTTTAACCCAAAGACCTGCATTTTGTATCCTGACAACTCTGATCCCACAAGATCGGACCCAGCTATCATTTTTAAGAAAGCCAAACCCCTTTTCGCTAAATAATCCTACAGTGGAACACAGATGCAACACCCTCGGAGCTCCTGCCAGAAGCCGAAGGAGAGGAATCGAGGGCTGCTCACTTTTTACTAGCCTCATGAAAGCACAGGAGATTCCTGGACTGAACAATGCCTTGAACCCGCTGGTTTAAACGTCAAGGTACAAGGAAAAAAGATCTCATTCAGATATCATCAACTAAAAATCTAAGCCTTCCTGATAGTATCCTTTCTTTTGTTTTTCAAAGCGTTAATCAGCTCTTCCTGTTTTTGCCATCTTAACACACCTAGTAGTAGAGAGCTGTGTGGCTGACAACCAGGCAGTGGTAACCTCATACTTAAATTACCCTGAACCTGCCCTCTTGTGATCGAACATAATGCTTTTGGGGTTTTGTTTGCTTGCTTTGGTTTGGTCTGGTCTGGTCTAGTCCAGTCTGGGCTGGTCTGGTCTGGTTGGAGGCAGGGTCTTGCTTTGTATTTCAGGCTGGCCTAAACTCACTATGTAATTCAGACTGGCCTCCAACTCCTCGCGATCCTCCTGCCTCAGTCTCCTGAGTGCTGGGATTATAGGTCTGCACCACCACTCCTGGCTCAAAATGCATTTTAGATTCTAAAACAATAAGTATATAATATCTTACTGGTATTATTGGTATAAGTATTCAGCCTCACAGTACTACCTCTAAATGGAATTGCCTCTTAGTGATCAAAATAACAACCAATGTGCAAAATAAAATTAGATTCCTGTCACTTATGGTCTATAAAGTTGATTTAGAGTTACATTTTACATGTGCTTGTGATTTTTTTTTTCCGGTACTGGGAATTGAACTCACAACCTCATGCTTGCCAGGCAGGCGCTGTGCCACGGAGCTAAATCCCCAGCCCCCTGTGCTTGTGATTTTATCAGCCATTTATATGTTTTATCAAACACTGATACTATTTTTTCTCAGCTAGACAACTGTTCAGAAAAGTGGCCATTTTTTACACCGGGTACCGCTCTGAGAACATAATATTGAAAAACAGACCTGGACAAAAGTGGACATTCTGAATCCTGTTAATGTAACAGGTTCATGTTCTCTGAACATTGTGTTTTTCTAGCCAAGCAGGTGATACAACTCAAAAAGGAAAGCATATTTTCAGTGGGAGTGAAAATAAGAGTAGAACAATAGTTTACAAGTATTCCTTAACTCGGGCACTATGCATGTGACAGTTCATGCTCACCACAGCTCCGTGATATAGTCGTGATTGTAATCCCTGCCTAAGAGATGAGGAAGCTATTGCACAAAGGGCCGCTGGAATTTTCCAATACCAAATTACTAGTAAGTGATGACAAGCACTGGAGCCTCCACTATATTCAACACTATACTGTAATAAGCCCTCAAAAAAAAACAAGTTAAAGAAAAGGAACCTTGTCTCTTTACCCTTTTTGACCACCTAAATTCCCACCTTCTTCATCTATATGAAGTAATAATTATCACCCCTGTAAGAGCCCATTCTGAGCTGCTTTTGCTGATCTCAACCCAGCCTTGTAACCTATGAATTATTCCCGTAGGAGCAACTCCTTTGGGAAGAAATGAGAATAACAATGTTCTTTACAGACCTTAAATAATACCCAGTGGTATTTTTAATTTTTGATCTTTTGATAATTATTTAATAGGTGCTCAATAATTGTGTTAAACATAAGTATCACCTTATGCAGTTGATGTCTCAAATCCAAATAATTCTCTATGATCTAGATTGTTAGCCTTTTCTCATGTGGATATAAAGGATCTACAGCTTTCACAATGAAAAACAACTTCTGAAGTTCTGTAGAGTAGTGGCTAAGGTCATGGGGGCCTCTTTAAATGGGACATGCTTCCCATTGAGAACCACTCCCATCTTCACCAAAGCAGCCTGTTCTCCAGAGGTAAAGCAAGTTATCATCATCCACCACCTTCTCTCCCAACCAGGTACGTTGAGCTGTACACACACACACACACATATCAGGGTGCTCTGTCAAGATTCCCTCAGAGGGCCATCTGCACAGGTCTAAACCATAGGTGGGAAAGTGCTCTAAATGTCTCCTATGTTCTTCACTGAGCTTTAGTTTTTTCAGTTCTTCTGTAGTACAGAACAGATCACAGATCCTAAAAGTTAAAGCAAAAATGTGTGATTTATGTGTATTTACCTAGAGAAAGACTAAATAGAATGTACCTTTTCTGTTTGAACATCTTTGTACCTAATTAAAATTCATGAGCCATCATTTTGTGAACATTAAATTCTAAAGCATATTTGTGAAAATATGACAACCTGTTGCTTTTCGTTTTAGTGAATGAAAATTAGCATACATCTTACTCTGAAGTTTTATCTTTATCACCATGCACATGGGGTTTTTAAACAGTATGTGGGCTTGAACTTCAATGTAGCTTTAGATGATGTTCCTGGAATTTAACTGGCTCTGAGATTCTTGTCATCTGTTCAGCTCTGTAATTGTAGCAAGGAAACCTAAAATGAGTAATTAGACAATTGAGTATCTCCTTCGCTACCCTCTCTTTATTCTCTTACAATATATCAGAACAATCTAAAATGCAACTCGTGTTTTTCTGCAGTCAAAATTCAACTAAACAGAAGCAGTAGAAGATATATATTAAGAAATTTCTTGTGATGAATTGGCTTATACAGTTGTGTGGATTGGGTAGGCAAGTCTAAAACCCATAGCTCCAGCCACTGTAACTTTAGGGCAGGAGCCAAAGTGTCTGGCACAGGCAGAATTTGTTCTTTAGGGAAACCTCAATTCTGGGCTTATGTACATTTAATTGATCGAGCCAGGCCTACTCATATCATAGTGGATAATCTTTAACATCAACTCATTTTGGACTTCAATCATGTCTATAAAATATCATCATAGCAAAGCCTAGAATTGTTTTTGATTGAATAGTTGGGCAGTAAAATAGCCACACTGACACAGACAACTGATATTACATGTCTAAACACTGTAAGCAAAAATTACATAATAAAGATAAAGGATAAATGGAAAAAGAGGAAAAAACAGGAGAAAGGGAGGCAGCACCAGAAAGTTAGACATTAAAATACTAGTAATTTTTCTGTACTTAAGTATTTTCTGTCAGTGTCGTCAGAGATCTGAAGGATGAATCATAAGGCCATAGTTAAAAAAATTGAAGTTCTGATACTGAGCTACTTTATGTCAGTCTTAACAATATTTATATTTAGTATTTTCATTTTTTCCCTTTTTTGATCCTGGGCAACAAGTATAAGCACATAAACAGTCACTTTTCCTTAGTGATTTCATATTGAAAATTGTGTAGCTCATAAATTATTAAAATGACCTTTGAGGGCCAGGCACCAAGATGGCAGAGTGATAAGCAGCAGAGAAAGAGATTTTCTGACTGTTGCCATCCAGACTCTGGAACACAGCAATGTGAGGAATACAACAAGGAGGGAAGTAGGTCTCCTTGACCCAGGAAGGATGTGAAGCAGGAATTGAATCCCACAGAGAGAGCAAAGAAAGAAAGTTTTATGAAGAAGTAGGAGGTAGCGGGCAGCACCTTCTCCCTGAGATGGGATTCACTGCACAAGACAAGCAATTCAAACCTACAGACTCATGGTGACTGCTGGCAACCCAAGAGGCTTCCACAGAGAAATGTAGCAGTGGATATGAAGGACTGCACTAGCTGGTGGTGAGTGCTGAGAGCTCAGTCATCCTGTGCGAGAGAGCTATCGGCCAGGAGCCATCTTGGAGAGGGGTAGGTT